TCACAGAGGCCACTGCCAGGGGTGGAGGAGGCCCTCCAGGACGGCCCGAGGGCCACATCCAAACACTGTCATAGGCAGGGGTGAGGCTGGCCTGGGTCCGGGGCCTTGGGACCTCGGGCCCTCCCTGCCTCTTGCAGGAGGTCTGGGCACCCCCAAGGCTGGCGCTTCAAACTAATTCACTCCAAGATCCCATGAACGGTCCTGTCCCTGGCCCTGCCCTGGGGTCCAGCTTTCCTTTTGTCTGTGGCCCCACTGACCAGCGGGGATCAAGTCCCTGCTGTCCATCCAACCAGATCAGAAAGCCATGCCTGGGCCCAACGGCGTTCCCTCCTCCTGACGGCCTGGACCCAGCTCGGCCCCCAGGCCCCACTCCCACCTCTCCAGGGGGAAAGACTGAGGCCCCAGGAGAGTGTCTGGGCGTCTAGAGGGGCCCAGCAGCAGACAGGGGTGGGGTCTCTCCCGCACCACCAGCTTCTCTCACCACTGGACCAAGCCCTGGTCCCCGAGCGCTGTCCTGGCTGTGCCCCGCCCCCTGGAGAGAGCCAGGCCCTGGTTCTTGGGCTCTGACAGGCCCAGCGGCACGGTCCTCCCACGTGAGGCTGGGGTGAAGCCCTGCGGGGCGCGTCCCCTGGGCACCAGCGTCTGCTGGGGTCTTTCTGACTCTCTCCCGTCACTCAGGGGATTTGGACAGAGCCAGGGATGCTGAGCCGTTCTTGGGTGGGGGTCCCTGCAGACCCCCACTGGCTGACAGCCTGCTGCCCAGGCTGCGGAGGGCTGGGGCCGGCCTGCAGGTCACCGGGAGGCGGACTTGCCCGGGGAGGGGGCGCAGACGAGCTCCAGCTCACCTGCCTCTCGTTGTGCTTGCCGTGGATCTCCACGAAGTCCTCCAGCACCTTCACCGTCAGGTCCTCGGGAGAGAAGTGCTTCACATCCAGGAAGATGACAAACTTGTCCCGGTCGGATCGGACCTGAAACCAGGCACGCGTGTGGGTCTCCGCCGCGCCGCAGCTCAGGGAAGGAGACTGCCGTGGCCCCTGCAGGGCTGGCTGGAGTGGCCCGAGTGCAGCAGCCGGGGCTCGGTCCCCAGTCGGGACAGAGACTGCAGGTCAGGGCTCTGAGCGCTCCCTCCACATGCCCAGGACTCAGGACGGGGTAGACACTAGGCTGGCACCCAGCACCTGCCTGGTGAGGGGCCGGCTGGCTGACTGGTTGTGGGTCGAGGGGCTGGTTGGTTGCGTTAGGTGGCTGGTTATGAGCTGAGTGGCAGGTTATGATTACAGAGCTGGTTATGAGTTGGTCGGCTGGTCATGGGTTGGTTGGCTAGCCGGTGGGACTGCGCACTTGGAAGAAGGTCGCTGCCCTGGCTTCCACTCACCTGTCCCTAAACAGCCTGGGCCCATCTTTGCAAGAGGACGTGGTGAGCCTGCGTGCCCGCATGGGCTGCCCAGCTCCTCACACACAAAGTGCCTCGTCCCCTCTCCTCTCACCCTCACCCGGGACGGGCGTTTCGGCTCCATTGGCCCCTGGAGTGACCACCGCTATACCAGCTCTGGGCAGGACCCTGTTTTTGCAGTCGTGAGACCTGGCCCCTCCAGAATGCTGGACCCTGGGGGAGTCAGGGGCTCAGGGGTAGGGAAGGCCATGGGCCTCCTTGCGTCCCCTCGGGGCCTGGTCTCGGGCGCCGGGCAGACCTGGCGGGAGCCCGCCCTGCGGCTCTGCAGCTCTGCAGCGGGACCTCGGGCGGCACAGCCTACCCCCAGGCTTCCTGCTGGGGGGGAAAGCCCGGCCCCTGAGCACAAAGCTCCGTCCACCATCAAGCTGGCTTTGGCGGGGCTGTTCTGGGGGCTCCCAGCATGCGATGGGGGCCTTAACCAACCACATACAGGTCATGAGCTGATGGGAGGAAAGACTGTGGTCGGGCTCAGGTGGGTCCTCTGCCGGCCCCCCTCCCAGAGGCAGGGGAGGCTCTGCTGGGGGACAGCCCACCCGGCCTCTGTGCGTCCGGGCAGGAGGAGGTCAGGGGAGGTAGGGAAGTGGCCCTGAGGACGTCACCATCCAGGAAACAAGGTGGGAGCAGGTGGAGCTCGCGGCTGCCCCGGGCTGGGCCTCAGAGATCCCTGCTTCCCCTCCGCACGGCCCAGGCCGGCGGGGGCAGCGCCGCTGAAGGCAGCAGGCCTTACCTCGGAGATGCCGGAGTCCAGCACGGTGCGGAAGAGGGACTGGCGGTAGTAGGGGCTGATGGTGGACGACAGGAAGGGCAGCAGGTCATACTCAAACAGGCCCTCCCCGAAGAACTGGTCAAACAGCCGGCTGGGGTAGAAGGGGCCCAGGGCGCGCTTGAACCAGGGGTGCTGGATGGCGATGTCCATGGCGGCCGTCGGCACTGCAGGGGCTGGGGCTGCTGCGGTGTCTGGCGGGGGCCTCTGGGCAGTGCGGTGGGGAACGGGGAGGCAGGCCCTCCTTATGTACGCCTGGGGCAGAAAGGAAGGATTAGGGGATCTGTCTGGAAAGCGTGAGCTCACGAGGGAGGCCGCCCAGTCAGCAGGAAGGGGGGCTGGGCTGCACGCCCGCCGCTCCCAGCCCCGGCCTGCCGCTCTCAACAGCCGGGAGCTGGACACACAGTGTCCCCAGGGAGCTCCTTTCTGCGTGGCTCTGCAACCCCTACCCACCTGGGGGTCAGTGGGGACTCCTCTCCCCCATCCTGGGGGAAGGTGTGCGCCTCAGGGATCGTACCAGCCGTCTGCGCACGTGGTCCCCTGTAATCCCATGGCCTCCCCACCAGCGAGGCCTCGGGCCCCCGTTTCATAGACAGGAAACTGAGGCACGGGGGTTGGACGAGTGGTCCCCAAATCCCAGAGCTACGATGTGAGAGTACATTGTGTTTTCAAACAGAATTCCCTCTGTCACTTCTTCCTGATTCCCAAAATCATACGTCCTGGGCAGAATCTCCAGAAGGACAGAAAATGCAGAGAAGAAATGAAGAGGTGCCCGTGCTTCCGGCACCAGGGAGCCTGTTGTGGGGCCTGTGCGTGTCCAGCTGGGGAGGTGGGTGTGGATTCACAAGCAAGCGGACCCCATATCCTGGGCTTTCTTCTGGACCCTGTCCCTGCAAACCTGGGGTCGGACAGAGGCACGGCCAGTAAGGAAGGCGCCCCACCCCTGCTGCCGGCCTGGTGACCGGTCCGCTCCTGTCTCCGTGGTCAGGTCGCTCCCAGGATTCAGGCTTTCATATTTTTTCAGGTGCCTGGCCTCTGAGGAGACGTGGGCTGACTTACCACCGCTCAGCACCCAGCCCCACCCACGGCGCAGGGGGCCCCGCTCCCGCAGCCCTCCTGAGACGCTCCTCAGTCACTCTGCACCCCACCCCCGGGTCCTAGCGCAGCTTCTGTCCAGCGTCCATCTCATGTCTGTGGACGAAGTGCATCCTCAGAGCACTCAGGGCCTTTGCAAATTTACCTCCCGCTCCTGGACTTAACAGGGCAGGAAAGAGCGCTTACCCGCTATCTAAGCGGGACTGTGCCTGGCACATCCAAGGTGGACTTGGTGTCAAAAGCGGGAATTTCAGAGCATCCCTCACACAGCCCCTCCCCAACTGGCGATGCCCAGAATCAAACCCTTCCTCCCTGCCTCTCCGAGCACCTGCGACGTGTGTGACACCAGCCAGTGATAAAGGGCCCAGAAAAATCTGCAGACACCAACCTTTGCCCTGCAAGTCTACAGTCTTGGGGGGCAATGCCCCAGGGGGTCAGGCAACAAGGGGCAATTAGGGTGCAGGTCATCAACACTGTAGAGGGTGGAGGGCACCCCTCCGGCCCCAGGCCACACTGATGGTGACCTCGTGGTTCCTTGCGGCCACTCTATGTGGCATGCAGGTCCCATCTCCCCACTTCATAGACCCGGAGAGAGGGGCTTACAAGGTTTAACCCTGTGCCCAGGTCACTCAGTGCGGAGGAAGGGGAGGGGGCGTCAGAGCAGGCTCCCCACCCAGGCTGAGAGTCAACATGGGAGGTGTGGCAGGGGTGTGGGCAGGGCGGTGGGTGGCCCTACACAGCGCAGGCTGCCTGCTCCGGGCATGGGGAGGTGGGGGGAGGGGCACAAGCACCTGACTGTCTGTACCCTCCATGGGGGGGTCCAGCAGGGCCAGGCGCGTGGTCAGGGCTGGGCGGAGCCACATGGAGGCTTTATCCTTCTGGAAAAAAAAGAAGGAAAAAGCCGACATGGCAGATCCCGTCTCTATTTAAAATTTGATATTTTGCTCGTCACTGGTTTTTTGCATGCATTTTGATTTGTTTAAACATCACATTAAAATATGATTTATCCTTGGGGGGCGGGTATAGCTCAGTGCTAGAGTGCATGCTTAGCATGCCCAGGCTCCTGGGTTCAATCCCCAGGACCTCCGTTACAATAAGCAGATAAATAAATAAAATTGTTTAAAAAGATGACTAATCCTCATGACTGCATTTGGCCCCACTGGTATTTGGCACCTTGTCACCCTGCACCTGGCCCTCCGTGTGGTCATTCAGACAGGCTGGGACTGCAGGCAGGGGCTGGGCACAACCTCAGCCTATGGGCTACACAGCTCAGGGTGGCCAGGGGTCTGCCACAGTCCATCAGACACACGAATGTCCAGACACTCCCCTGCAGCCCCTACCCGTGTGCGGAGGCCTCGGCGGGGTGTGGTGGCACCTGCTGCAGGTGGGGCCGGAGGGCACCTTCAGGGTGAGCCAGCACTGAGCCTACAGCACCAACGGCACAGAGCCTGGACCCAGGGAGTGGGGTGGCCACAGAGCCCTCAGGTACCTTTCAAACCCAAGAGCGTGGTGTGGTATCGGTTTCCTGTGGCGGCTGTAGCAGACCACAAACTCGGTGGCTTAAAACCACACAAATGTGTTACCTCGCAGTTTGGAGGTCAGAGTCCAAAGTGGGTCTCACTGGGCTCAGACCAAAGTGTCAGCAGGGCTGGTCCCTCCTGGAGGCTCCAGGGGAAACTGCGTGACTTGCTTTTCCAGTTTCCCGAGGCCGCACATCTCTTGACCCCAGTGCGTGTGTGATCTCCAGGTAAGCAGTTTTCTTCCTCGTCTTTCTGTACGCATTTACTAAGTGGAAATCACCCCAGAACTCCCCGTTACATGGCCGGCCCGACGCCAGCAGACTCCCGTCCGTGAGCGTGTTCTGAGCCGGTTGCCAAGGCCGGGGACAGCTCTCCCTCCAGCCTCTGTGATGCGACGTCTTTCTGTGCTTAGACATGAGGCTTCAGATCAGCGACGGCAGCCCGCTTGGAGACAGAGCCGGCGTCACTTCAGCTCTGCCATTCTGCGTGACTTCTTGGCGCTTTTACAGCATGTTTAAAATGTGAACCTGTGAGACGGAGCCCAGACCACGAGGTGAGACGCTTCAGTGCAGACGGCTGTTCTCGGTGGAATACTCCACTCATTTTGAATAATAATGCCTTTAAGATGGAAATGTAGTCTTTTTATTGTTCATTGTTTGTTTCAAAGAACCAATCAAGAAAACCATGATTATTCATGATCATTCCCTGATTACATGGAAAAATCCTTTTTTTTTAATGGAATTACTGAGGCTTGAGCCCAGGACCTCAGCAGGCTAAGCAGGCGCTCTGCCCCTGGGCTCTACCCTCCCCCACCGGAAACCATTTTGTCACGTGGGGCAGGGAGAGTCCCAGAGCGCCCTGCTCTGGGCGTCAAAAGCACCAGGCACACCCCTGGCCTCGGGTTCCTCCGGGCCACTGCTGCCCGCCCGTGGGAGTCTGACAGGCCTGCGAGAGTGAAGCCCCCCCACCCCGCAGCCTAGGGCAGACCTGAAGCCCACCCCACACACGCCCTCCCAGGAGCTCTGGGAGACGACGCGCGAGGCAAGCCCCCATCGGGAAGCCTCAGGAGCCAGGATCTGCCTCCCCGTGCCGCCCAGCGGCAGGGCCGTCTGGTCAACCAGCCTGGGGCGGCAGCTCTGGCCCCATCCTCACTGTTCAGGCTTGTGCTCTGAGGACTGCGCGGCCCCACAGAGGTCCCGGGTGCCTACAGCCCCTCTCTGTGTCCTGTTTATTATTCCCACGCACAAAAGCAGGCTGTTAACGAGGAGACGCTTTTCCAAGAAAGTCTTGTGAACTAAGATTTTAGGAGGACAGATAAGACTGTAGATTTTCTTTCTATTTTAAATAACATTTTATTATAAAAATGACACATTGTCATTGTTCAGAATTCGAGCAAATCCAATAAATCTAAAGTGGGGAAACTCCCTTAATCCTACCAAACCCTGAGTGTTCACTACAGGCTGTGTCAGAGGAGCTGGCGAGGCCCCCCCACTGGCTTGTTGGGCTATTTATTAGGGTCCTGGAGCCAACCAAAAAGGTGTGCAGAGGGAGGACGAAGCCACGGAACTCCAGCAACGTGCTCCTGAGCCGTGGGCTGGGAGGACGGGTCCTGGGGCACGGCCAGTGGTCCTCTTTGGGATGGAGGCGCCCCCTCAGATCTGTGCAGTGAGCCCCACTGTCCTCATGCTGAGCCATGAGCCAGAGCATCCTGGGCCCTGACCCTGCTTTGTGCACATCCCTGGTGACCGGGACAGGCTGTGCTGGGACGCTTCCATCCCTCCAGCCCGTCATGGAGACCCCAACAGAGGTCTTCCCACTCGGTCCAGCCATGGTCCCTGTAAGGCCACAGAGATGACCCCAAGACCACCCCCAGGACAGGTGAGGGAGCAGAAGAAGTGCTCAGAGGTGTGACCCTGACATCTGGGCCAGGTCTGTGCAGAGCAATGGCAGGGACAGCCCTGGAGCTCCCACCCAGAGAGGGAGGACCGGGCCCACGGTGGGCTGGGGACCAGGGAGGACAGGAACAGGAGGCCATCGGACCTCAGGCTCCTGAGTGAGGAGGACGGTGCCTCTGAGCCGTGCTTTCCTCCCCAAGGACTGTGACACGTCCAGCCTGGGCCCGTGTGTCAGAAACTCCTCACTGGCCATCTCTTGGCCCCCTGCTCCCTAATCCCTGGCTTCCCGGAGGGTTGCCATCCCTTCCGCCTGTGTCCTGAGACTCTGGAGAATGTGACTGGCCCCTCCCTATGGGCCAGGGCAGCCTTGGTCTTAGAGGCAGGGAAGCTGGTGGGTACGGACAGGCAGGGGACGAGGAGGTGACCGGGAGATGCCCGCCCAAATCTCAGGGAAGCAGTGGAGCCGGCTTCACCCGAGGCCCTCTGTGTGCAGCCAGCCCCACGTGGATGTTTGTCCTCGCACAGCCTGAAGGAGCCACTGCTGTCACCACTGCCCTTGGGGGAACAAGGCCCACGGACACAGTGACCACGTGGCTCTCCTGAGTCTGCCCAGAATGGCCGGGGCCCAGCACACTTCATCCATCCCAGGGTGTCCGGCAGGCTTGACCCATGTGGCAGGTTGAAGAGAAGAAATATAAACTTTCCAAAAATCAAAGAAAAAAGAGTATCTTTCTCTTAAAGCCG